TCTGTTGTTCAAACAGCTAATAGCGCGACGTGTGTCTCCTAATCTTCATCCTCTGAGTCTTGGGTCATTGATTCAAGTGCATCATATCATATTTTTGGTAACAAATCTATTTTCACTACTACTTCGTATTCTCAATCTCTTCCAATAGTCACAATGGCCAATGGGTCTCAAACATGGCAACTACAATAGGTCAAGCAAGCTACTTCCTTCCTTACCTTTAGATTCAGTTCTTTATGTTCCCAATAGTCCTTTTAATCTCATAGTTGTTAGTCACTTAGCCAAATCACTTAAATGCGCAGTTTTATTTCTTGATGACCTTGTTTTTATACAGGAACGCAGTACGAGGCAGATCATTGGTACTGATCATGAATCAAATGGACTTTATTACGTTATCCTTGCAAAATCACATACACTGACATCTTGTCTTCCTTCAACAACTTGTCCTGTTACTAATTCACCAAATTTGTTACATAAACGGTTGGGACATCCCAGTTTGTCAAACCTTCAGAAAATAGTACCTGGTTTATCTCACTTGTCCAATCTAGAGTGTGAGTCTTATCAGCTCGAGAAGCATACCCGCTCTCATTTCCCTCGGTGTCTTGATAATCGAGCAGAGTCACCTTTTACTCTAGTCCATTCAGACGTTTGAGGTCCTAGTCGGGTCAGTTCTACCTTAGGATTCCGCTACTTTGTTAATTTCATTCATGATTATTCCAGGTGCACTTGGATATTTTTTATGAAAAATCGATCTGAGTTGTTTTCTATTTTCAGACCTTCCACGCTGAAATACAAAATCAATTTGGGTTTCTATCCGCACATTTCGTAGTGATAATGCCCTAGAGTATTTATCTTCCCCATTTCAGCGGTTTATGAACTCTCATGGGATTATTCATTAAACATCTTGTCCATACACATCTCAACAAAATAGGGTACCTGAAAGAAAGAATAGACGCCTTATTGAAATTGTCGTACCCTACTCATACAATCTCATGTTCCGTTACGTTTTTGAGGGGGATGCAGTTCTTACATCTTGTTATCTTATTAATCGTATGTCATCTTTAGCTATCTAGAATCAAGTTCCATTCTCTGTCATGTTTCCCCACTTACCTTTATTTTCTCTTCCACCCCGTGTCTTTGGAAGTACGTGTTTTGTTCATAACCTTACTTTAGGAAAAGATAAGTTAGCTCATCATGCTCTTAAGTGTGTATTTCTGTGTTAATAGAGAACGCAAAAGGGGTATCGATGTTATTCTCCTGACCTCCAGCGGCACCTTATGCCCGCTGATGTTACCTTCTTTGAAACTCAATCATACTTCATAGGCCCAGGTAATCACTTAGATATTTCTGAGGTGCTACCAGTTTCAGCTTTTGGAGATTCAGTCAATATCTCCCATTCATCTTCCTCTACAACTCCAGCTCCACCACATACAGCTCCAATTGCAGCTCTGATTCCACCACCCAGTCCAGTTCAACCTTCTACAGCCCCACCACTCTTGACTTATTATCGTCGTCCACGTCCAGCATCAGGCCCAAGTGATCCTGCATCAAATTTTGCACCTACTGCGAACTTGTCTCCTCTTAGTCAACTAATTGCACTTCGCAAAGGTGTACGATCCACACTTAATCCTAATCCCCATAATGTCGGTTTAAGTTATCATCGTCGGTCATCACCTCATTGTGTTTTTATATCATCTTTGTCCACTGTTTCTATCCTAAGTCTACAGGTGAGGCACTATCTCATCCAGGATGGCAACAGGCTATGATTGACGAGATGTCTGATTTATATGCGAGGGGCACTTGGGAGCTTGTTCCTCTTCCTTCAGGTGAGTCTACTGTTGGTTGTCGTTGGGTTTATGCAGTCAAAGTCGGCCCGGATGGCCAGATTGATCGGCTTAAGGCTCGTCTTGTTGCAAAAGGATACACTCAGATTTTTGGGCTTGATTATAGTGACACTTTCTCTCCCGTGGCTAAAGTAGCATATGTTCGTCTCTTTTCTCCATGGCTCTTATACGTCTTTGGCCTTTTTATCAGTTAGACATTAAGAATGTTTTTCTCCACGGTGATCTTGAGGAAGAAGTATATATGGAGCAACCACCTGATTTTGTTGCTCAGGGTAGTTTAGTGGTCTTGTATGCCGATTGCGCAGGTCACTACATGGTTTGAAACAGTCCCCTCGAGCTTGGTTTGGTAAGTTCAGCACAGTTATTCAGGAGTTGGCATGCCTCGTAGTGAAGTTGATCACTTTATGTTTTATCGGCATTCTACTCCTAATCTGTGTATTTATCTGGTGGTTTATGTTGATGATATTGTTATTACTGGCAATGATCAGGATGGTAGTACTAATCTAAAGCAGCATCTCTTTCAACACTTCCAGACTAAGGATCTAGGCAGATTGAAGTATTTTCTAGGTATTGAGGTCGCTCAGTCTAGCTCAGGTATTGTTATTTCACAGCGGAAGTATGCCTTAGACATTCTTAAGGAGACTAGAATGATGGGCTGCAAACCTGTTGACACTCCTATGGATCTGAATGCTAAGCTTCTGCCAGGACAGGGGGAGCCTCTTAGAGATAACGAGATATAGGAGGTTGGTTGGCAAATTGAATTACCTCATAGTGACTAGACCTGGCATTTCTTTTCCGGTGAGTGTTGTAAGTCAGTTTATGGATTCTCCCTGTGATAGTCACTAGGATGCAGTTGTTCGCATTCTTCGGTATATAAAGTCAGCTCCAGGCAAAGGATTACTATTCGAGGATCGAGGCCATGAGCAAATTGTTGGGTACACAAATGCCGATTGGGCAGGATAACCTTATGATAGACGTTCTACGTCTGGATATTATGTTTTAGTAGGAGATAATTTGGTCTCTTGGAAGAGCAAGAACAGAATGTAGTTGCTCGATCAGGCGCCGAAGCCGAATATCGGGCCATAGCTATGGCAACGTGTGAGCTAGTTTAGGTCAAGCAATTGCTCAAGGAGTTGAAGTTCGGAGAAATCAGCAAGATGGAACTGGTGTGTGATAATCAAGTTGCGCTTCATATTGCGTCAAATCCAGTGTTTCATGAGAGGACTAAACATATTGAAATCGACGGTCACTTTTTCGGAAAAAATATACTCTCAGGAAATATTGTTACAAAGTTTGTGAAGTCGAATGATCAGGTAGCAGATGTTTTCACTAAGTCTCTTGCTGGTTCTCATATTGGTTACATCTGTCACAAGCTCGGTACATATGATTTATATTCACCGGCTTAAGGGAGAGTGTTAAGTAGTTAGTCATGTATAGTGTCCCACATCGGGAAGTAGATACATATTATTATGCAATCATTGTATATAAATAGGGCGTGGTACAATACTTTAGATAATCAATAATATTTTTCTCCCGTGCTTTCTCACAATCTACAACCAAAGAGCCAACCTCCGACACTTCAAGATCGGGGACTTGGTGTTGAGAAAAGTGACATTGCACTCCCAGAACCCGAACGAGGGAAAGCTGGGACCAAATTGGGAAGGACCATATCGAGTCGTCGGAATTACCGGCAAATGCTCGTACAAACTCGAAGCAGAAAACGGTGTACAGCGACCAAAAAACTGGAACTGACGCAAATAAAGCGGCTGACGCAAATAAAGCGGTACTACTGCTAAGGTACGATCTCAATTACTCTTTAATAATATTATGAATCGGACTACCACCTGCAGGCAACGGCCAAGGGAGAATATGACTATTAGGTCTGAAAGCACGCATTGCACTCTTTTCCCTTGAACCGGTTTTGTCCCAAAATGGGTTTTTCGGCAAGGTTTCCAATAGGGCAACAGTAAATCATGCTAACTTAGATTCGAAGCCCGATCTCAAACCGGAGTCAATGGGCGCATCAATAGTACCCGAGCCCTCTTAAGCTCGACCTCGAATATTGGGGGACATCACCCTCGGGTTAGGGTTCTTAGCAAGGAAAGGACATTTCGAAAGAACCCTGCCCACATAGCCCACCTTAGCCATGATACAAATTTTTATCATGTACTGTACACATTGAAACGAAAGAAAGTTCTGCCTTGCTATTACGCATTTTCTTACTTCTTAAAACCAGGATCCTAAGAGCCCACGGGCTATCCTATTCGAGGACTATCGAGCCCAAGGGCTACCCTTACTCGGGGACTATCGAAAGAAAAAAGTTTGGATAAACCGAGCTACTAAATCTCGGGAGCATCAAACCTAGGCGGTGCCCAAAAATAAAAGGCTACGGCCACCCAAAAAATGACTCAGAGACGTACGAAGCTCGTAATCAAAGTAAGGACTTTATAAAAATTCAAAACCTGCTAAAAGGTTATCCTCGGCAAAAGCATCGTCTAAAAACACTTAAGCATCTTGAAGAAAAAAACTTCCGGTCACACCGAGTTTTCAAAGCCTCGAGACCATGTAAGATGCAGAGACGATTGAGCAATTTCATGGTGTATTATGTCAAGAAGTAACAAATATATATATACAAGTACATGGCCCCAACTATAGAAAGAATCAAAAAAGAAAACCCTATAGATTTGTTGTGAATCCCTATGATACTGCTATGTACATTACATAAGAGTATGTCTTCGTTCACTAAGTAACAGAATGTCTACGTTCATTATGTAACAATTGTTATTACTATTTATCGCCTTTGGATCATGCTTTTAGTTTCGTTGGTTCGCCTAGCGGGTTAAGTCAGGTGTCATCATGGCTTGGGCAAATTGGGTCGTGATACACATGAAATTATCAACACAATAGGTCCAACACTTTAAGCTTATTTTAAATTCTTTAAAAGCGACTTGAAGGCAAAGCCTAATTATTCTTTGGGTAAGGACACAATTTTTCTTCTGGAAAGATATCAAAACTAGCCACCAAAGTGTTGTCAGTACTAAGCTTTCACAGTAACATATAGTTTATGCAGGCAGATTAGACACAATAGTATACGAGCATATGTATTTTGAATAAGTTGATACAACTGACTGAAATAAAGCATCTGCCATGAAGTCATACCTCCAACCAAAAGGTCCAGTTTTTATCGCCTGCACCACTTAATCTACATATATATGATGGAGGACCATTACCAGTCTTCTCAGGAGCTGTATAACATGTCCACTGAGATTAACAATGCTGCCATAGGGAAAAAGATCCATACTGAAAGCTGAAAACATATAGATTACCTGGAAGAATGTTATCTGCAAATGACCAGCTGGATAATGAACCAGTAATATTAAGGACTGCAACCCAGACTTCCTTCAAGGAACTGAAAGCAGACAAGAGAAACTATGAAACAGCTGATTAATTACTAGGGACAGAGAATCTAGTTTTAACACAATAGTACTAGGAGAAAATATACTAGGAAACCTTATCATATCTGAGTTATGAAGTTCAACTTTATCCTGTTTGCAGTTCATGATCGATTTTTGGCATCAATTTCGAGCAATGGAGATTGAAAATAATCCGAGGACCAATATTTCCCGAGTTCAAACAAGGTAAACATCAACTTTATGATTTCACATGCTATACTCTATTAAACCTAAGAAATGCCTGTCAAACTTGGGAGAGTCGTATCCAGCAATAAATAACAGCATCACATTGACATGAACCGCATATTTCAGAGGGATCTTTCTGTAATCAGATTACTACAATTTGATACAGCTAGCGGATAATCTACATCAACATGTTTAGCAAAAAAAAAAATATGAATCTACATTAAAACATGAATTGAACATTCGGGTCACTATGAGATCACATAAAGTGCCATGACAGATACTAGTAACCTGTATTCATTAACTTAAAACAGGTAAAATAAGTGTTTGGGTCCTCGGATGTGAGAGGTCATGGTCATCTTTGATACACTATAAATACATTCTATTTAACCAAGGACCATGAATCTCTGAACTCATCTTAAGATTCACTGTTGAAAAAGCCCCGTTGAAGAGAGACTTTAATCCTGTAAGCAGTTCTGAATTCTGATAAATTTTTGGTGTCAATTTCAAGGAAAAAAGATTGAAAACTTCATGTGAGCAAAATATTTCCTGAGTTCAAAACAACATAAAACTCATTTCTATGGTTCCACAGTCCTATACTCTATTAAACCTTAGAAATATTGTCAAAACGACGGACAATCATATTGAGCAGTCAATAGAAACATCATCCCATGAACTATCAATAGAAACATCATCCCATGAACTGCATAATTCAGAGGGTTCTTCTTTAAAAATCTGACTACTAAATAGTTTTGACACAGCCAGCAGATAATTTATATCTACATCAGAACATGAAGAAATTCAGTGCACCAGGAGATCACATAAAGTGGCATAGCACTAAAGTTGGTAACCTCCAGGAAAATGGATCTCCACTAATTTAACATTTCAAAAATGTATCGGATCCCTTGGATTTAATACTCCTGAACTCATTTTTAAGATTCACTTTTGAAAATGCCAATATGAATAAAGACATAAATTGTAATTATCCAATTTACCCAAGGGAAAACTCCAAGTAGATCCTGCGGGAACCCCCACTCAAACTCTCTTGTGGCTTGTTAATCGCCAAATGTGGGAAATGATTGTATTCAACCAAGACATCCGAACTTTGCGCAGGAAACGTCATGCATCTTGAAAACAACGAAGATATTGGAAATATCCCCTGCAAAAGGGAAAAGATTATTACATGAAAGCAAAATATATTATTTGAATTACCACTAGGACATACAGCAACGACAACAAACCTAGTACAATCCCACTAGGACATAATTTACAAAAATTATCAGAGCGCCACTTCAATACAACAGCAAAGCTTTAGAAAAGTTGCACTTCATCACGAAACTCGGCTGTAACCCAGTTTACTCCCCCATCAAATCTTAAGAACATCTTTCGAAAACAAGAACAGTCACATGGTAATAGTTCTCGAGTAAACAAGATTTCAAAACCAACAGCTATAGGATTCAGGATGAAAGTAGTTCCCTTTTTCCCCTCTTTTTTTTTGGGAGAACCAATAAGGTGATTTTATAATCCAGCACAGGAAGTGCTGCAAAAACTGTACATACAGAAAGTATGCAGCCTGAGCATGTTACTACTTAAGGGAAGCAAGGACTGGATACAAGCTGGTATATGTAGGAGCAAATCTAACCAATTCAAGACCTTTATAAAAGAAGACAGGCCTATGTCCTATGGGGAAAAAGCACATAAATATCATATGAAAATATGTTTGGCTAATCATAGCCAAGCTTCAAAGTAGCTACCATCCAATCAGCTTGGTGAGACTGTTTGACAGCAGCAAAGGATAATTCTGTATTAATGTGCAGTGCATTGGCCACTTCAGGGGCATGTTTGAAAACGAAAGGCAGAGAATTGGAGTCAACAACAGCAAAATCATAGGTAGTTTCCATAATTTGACTGGCACCTGTCAAGCCAGCATTAACTTATTAGTAATTAGTAAGAAGATACAAAGGAATTCATCTGGAAGTGTACGCAATCACAGATTAAACTCAAAAAATTAAGTTGCATACTCGTACTATTGGGTTCCATCTTACAATATGTTTGGTTAGGATTAAAAGGGGAAGAGAAGGAGTTGGAAGTAAAACAGGGGGGCCGGTACTCTCCTTGTCAGTTTCCAGAATTGGACAAAATCTAAAAGGAGAGAGTATATCTCCTTCTGTCCTAATCATATCAGACAACTGGTTATAAATGATCACTATATACCCGAAAAGAAAAAACAATGAGTTTCTTTTTGATTCACTGTTCCCTCCCCTTCATAGAAGCAACTAGGAAGCAATACAAATTAAGCAGCACATGAAACGATGGGGCATATCTTCTGACAACTTCTGCCCACTTAGTTCTGTAACTCCAGAAAGGAGAGAGCTTTTCGTCCAGAGGGGTTCATAGCATCTAAGAAGCGCCAAAAACTGAAATATATACTTGAACCGAATTGTAATCTGGAAAATTCACTTTTTAATCTCTTCCCTTCTTTTTTCCTTTTTATTTTCCTTCTTATTAGGGAAAATGAATTGCTACTTCTTTGATACCTGCACTCCTGATAGTATGCTGGAATATAACTCTTTTTGGTGCGTCAGTACTGTATGGAAAGAATTGTGATGAAAGGGCCAGAGCGAGAACACTGCTGTGTAGCAAAAAATGCATTATAGGTGACCTGGCTAACCAGTAGCTCACAACAGGCAAAAGAGGCCCAATGGACCAACTAGTCACCAGTCCAATTATTGCTGCCACTATAACATCAGGAACAAAATACCCTGCAAAGCAAATGAGCTACCTATTTATCATATTGTATAACTAAATGCTCAAATTCAATTGCAATTTCATCAGATATCAAGGTCTTCACAAGTTCACATAAAGGAAAGCTGCAACAGTCAGTGTAATGAATCTCTGGATCATTTTCACCTTGACATTTTCTCCGTATTTATATTTTTATTTTGCATAAATATTTTGATTCATTCAGCCTGAGCTTCAAGTAAAACAAATTGCAGGTTTTCCATTTTGTCGATTGAGATTTCTGTGCCTTCAAGAGCATTATAGTTTGGAGGAGCAGCGTAAAAATGTTCTGGTACCAAAGAAGTTATTCTGCAATTTTAAGAATTTTTATCACATGCTCTAATTTCATAATTTGGCCACTATGAAGAGAGATGAATTTCAAAATGACAGAAGGATAAAAGAAAAAATCTAGTCTAATCAAGAGTACGTGCATAAATGAAGCATTTCGGCATCAAGTAATAAACATTCTGCACTTTCTGTCGTAAGGTATTCGACTACTCCATATGTTGCAACTTGATCTAACATACCTATTTGACTACAAGATTTTGATTTGGGGATGGTAAGACAACCTTTCATTTCATTGTTTAGTTGGCTGCACAATCAAGACCAGTGTTTAAAAGGCGCGGACGTGATGCAAAGTGTTTTACCTGATAGCGGGCGAGGCATAAGCCTCGAGGCACTGGGCATAAGCCCCATGGATCTTTAATTTTAATATTTTAGAAATTAATGTAACAGAAATAGATATTAAAAGAAGGTAAAACTACAATGCAATTATAAAAACTTCAAGAGAATACAAAATAAGTTGAAATGTATACAGAACTGCTTCATCTTACAACGCTACTCAAAATCAGTGGTTAACTAAAACTAATCAGAATTGCTTCAACTTACATTTTATAAAATAAAAATAAAAAATAAAAAATAATAATAAAAAAACGACTTTGAAAAGGAACTGAGTAAAAATTTATAAACTAGAGCAAGAAAACTTGAAAGGAAGGAAAAGTGAAGAAAGAATTATAATCAGAAGCGTCGAACCAAAGCAAGTGATGAAGGATGATGCATTCTGCTTTGTCATTTGCAAATTTTCATTTTCCCTTTTACCGGTAAAAGATGAAGAGAAAGAACAAAGGGCTAAGAATAAAAATCTTCTGATTTTTAAGTTTTTTGACTTTTCAGAATTTAACAACTGACACGTTTTTTTGTAATAAATTAAGGTCTTGTTTAGCAACTTTAATGCTATTTTGGAGAGGTTTCATGGGCTTACGCCCCAAAATAAAAGCTCGCTCAACGCCTAAGCGTACGTCCAGAGCAATAGGGCTTACACCCTGCAATACTTTTGCCCTCCCAAAAAAAAAAAAAAAGTCGCCGCGTTGCCTTTTTACTACCCACGGGGGCTCACCCCATGACTCGTCCTAAGAACGCCTTCTAAAACACTGATCAAGACCACTATTATGCACTCCAACCTGTGTGCCAATACATCTACGTTTCACGTAAGGCAAGCATGTGCAAAAATCATCATAGTGCCAATCCTCTAAAAAGGAGTAAAGATTTATCAATTAATCGTCAATTGTTTGACATGTATGTACAAACAATTTCTACTATAGAAACAATGTCGGAGATACTAACCAAAAGGAGGGGGAAGTGAGCCTGTCATGCCCATTTTTTCGATAACAAAAGCAACAAGAAATCCACCAAAATACACTGTGTACATTAGGCAAGGAATGAGAGGGATCACATAACATGCAGTTGACCTGACAAAAACAGCTTTTGATCAGTAAAATATGTTATTAACTAATGAGCAACAGGCTGGAACTTCAGAGGCATAAACTAGTAACAAGAGAACATACAGTTTTCTGGAGTTGTACAAACAAAAAGTTAGTTAGCAGAGAAGCAGATAACTAATAAACTTTACCTGAAAGATCTGAGACCAAAGGACTTGATAGACAGGCGAAAGGAAACCCAAGCAGGAAGCATGAATACTGACATTACAAATGTCAAGAAACCTCCACTCAGCCCTACGACAAGGTAAGCCTGCTTGCAGGATGCCATTTAGCCATTTCATTTTTGAAACAAATAGAAAAGGGAAAGGGCCAAATTTACCCTCTACTTTCGGATATTGTCTACATTTAATATCTGTTATACTCCGGCAAAATTTACCCCTACCATTAGCACTGTTTTGAAAGGCGTGGGAACAAGGCGAGACATTTTACATATGCCTATGCGAAGCGTAAGGCCTGATGCACGGGGCATAAGCCCCATGGGCATTTAATTTTTAATATTTCATAAAATAATATAATTACAATAAATATTTTAAATAGGTAAAATTGCATAAAAATTTGAAGAAAACTATAAATAAGTGAAAAATATATAGAGATGTGCTCCAAAAAAACTAGTCAATGCTATGGAGGAACTTTTTTTTTTTTTTGATGAAGTAAGTGGTGTATTAATGACAAAAGCATTCAGTGGATGCACATATTACAAAATAAAAGAAGATATCAGCTCCTAAGAAGAAATCATAAGACTAGAGAGCTGATAAATTCCATAAATTGGTCAGGGTTATACATAGGGGAGAGTTTAACCCTACAAAAAAGAGTGACCAAACATCTAGCCTTGAGTAGGTATCTAGCAGTTGAGATGCCATCAAAGCATCTTTGATTCCTTTCTGTCCATAAGCACCACAAAATAGCAGCAGGAACCATAGACCAGATTTTCTTTATCAGTGTTTCAAAAAGCGTCCGCTTCCTCGCTTTAAGCGAGAAGCGATGCGAAGCGAGAAGGTGCACGCTTCACATGGGTGAAGCGACTCAAGTATAAAAAAGCAACCGCTTCCCACTAAAAAACGAGAAGCGACCAAGCGATGCGATGCGAAGGAAGCGACCGCTTCTGTGTTTTAAAACAGAGCCAGCCCTATTTTATTAAAAACGAAAATTTGTGATTAAACACTGGTCTTTCTTCAAGCGAACAGCAGCAACTAGGGTTTTAAAGCAGAAAGCATCGACTAGGGTTCTTCTTCTTCAAGTTCAAGTGTTCAACAGCAACAGGTATGTTTTGATTTCCTCCTTATTCTTCTTCTTTTTCTTTTACTGTTTCAACGTCCAAATAGTAGCGAAATGCTGGCGAATTTTTTTTTTACCTTCAGTTCTTTCTCATAATTGATGTCAATCCTTGGGTTCTTCTTTCTCTGCCCAGTTTTTAACCGAGAATTACTGCCCTTCCTCTAATTTTTATATCCTTTATTCTTAGTTCTTATTGCCTTTCTTATGTGTTATGTAGTTGTTCTTTTAATGGCACCAAAAGAAGATAGGAAAGACCCGGCTAGGGCTTACTCAGCAAGAGTTAGCGAGACCAACAAGATGCCAATTAGATGTCTTTTTTGTGACAAGATTTCAAATGGGGGAATCTATCGTCAAAAAGCGCATCTAATCGGGGGTGATCCAAATGTCGCATCTTGTATTGAACATTTGCTTAGAATTACATGTGTTGTCCATGCAGTATTAATTTTAAATTTTTTTTTAAATTCCGCTTCACTTCAGAAAAGCGAGCGTTTCGCTTCTCGCTTCTCGCTTTAAGCGAAATGGGGGTTGTCGCTTTTCCTCGCTTCACGCTCTTCACAACACTGTTCTTGATGGACTTCTCAACTTTCCATGAACTCGAACTCACAAAAACTTCCTTGACACTGCATGGCATTGTCAAACGCAAACCAAAAAGTGAAAGAAACATGGACCATATGCCTGTTGCAACTGGATAGTGAAGAAATAAATGGTTGGTTGTTTCAGAGTTGCTTTGGCACATGTTGCATCTGCTAGCAAGCTTAAAACCCCTTCGGATGAGATTGTCATGGGTTAGGCATGCTCCATTTAGGGTTATCCAGCAAAAAGCACTGACCTTTGGAGGCATTTTTGTCCTCCAGATTAGTTTACATGGGCCACTGATCAATCATTTCCTTCCTGGAGCTTAAGGTTTGATAACTAGCTATAATTCTTTTTTCCTATTTTAGTTAGGATAGGTTTTCTTAACCTTATTCTTATTCTAGTTCAATAAGAATTAGTTTTTCTAAGTTTTTGCTTCAAAAACGTGATTTCTCTTTTGTTTGATTCTTCTTTCTTTATTCGACGCTTCTTCTGGATTGAGAAACGAATGGGTAAGGTTCTTCTTATCTTACATTCTTCTCACATGAGTTTGAAGAACCCTTTCGCTCGTTTTGTGAAAAACTTTAGCGGAGTGCTTTTGTTTTTCTCTCTTCTTTGTGCTTGAGAGGAGCAAAACCTTGAAAGTACATCAAATATACATTGTTCCTCATATCCAAGTTAAGCTTGACTCACGCATGGGTAGGAATTAGCAATATAGTACAGGTACATTGTTCCTCAAGACATGCCATAAATCTTTAACATCCAACATTCGATTTCACATTCCTTCATGTCTTAGCAATAAGAAAGTACAGGTGTATTCTTTTATGGTGATTTCTAAAAACGGTGGATGAAGGAGAAGAATAAGTGCCTTAAATAAAAGGGATTTGGGAGATTGTGGGTTACTGTAAGGGCTGCGGTAATTTTTAAAAAGTTCGCTAATGGTAGGGGTAGTATAACAGAGGCTAAATAAAGACAATATCCGAAAGTAGAGTTTAAATTTGGCCCTCCTTACACACTTCACCAAGTATGGAAAACCCGGTTGACAAAGTCAATCAACCTCAAAAGAAGAGTATTAAATGCAGATAACTTATAGAAAAAATATTACGCACCACTGTTAAAATGGAATACAACCCAAATGCTCCCCAAAATGTAGCTTCAAAAACTAGTTCCTAGAGAAGAAAAAAAAGAAAAGAAAAACGAAAGAACGTCAATCATTGCCATGATCTCTGCAATATAAGCATAAATCTTGTGAACTCCACATATATGGCATTTTGCCGATAAAATCTCTATATAACTCATGGAAGAAGCATAGTTGAGTCATCAAATCACAAATGCATGGTTTATATAATTATTATGGAACAGAATTTGGAAATTAACGCACCACTTAACACTTAAATTTCTCCAAATTTCCAACCCCCCCCCCCCCCCGGGTGCGAGCACGGGCAAAAGAAAATCCCCTCCAGCATTAACTAACAAGAAAAGGAGGTGTTACCTAACCTACTCTGCCTATATCTCCCCTCTCCCTCATTCGCATTCTTAATACTCATCACAAAATAAGATTGAATAGTTAAATGGCAAAAAAACTATCAGCTGTTTTTAGACACCAATTAAAAATCATGACACAATATATCCAAGTAGTCCTAAAATAAGCAGAATGTATCGGCTTGCTTTCTTCGTTTTACCGTTTTGAAATCCAAAGTATTCTCTAAGGGCTGTCAAAAGTGCAGTGGAATTACCAAAAAAATATATAAAAATCAGTCCACAGTGTAATGAGTGAAATGAAGAACAAGATAGATCTTTGTCAGGGTACATATTTATAAAAAAGGAAAAGATGAAACAAAAAAAACATATATATGAAAAGCAGAAATCTTTGCCAAAACAATATTAAAAAGATTAAAGTTGTACCTCTTTTGACAACTTCACGACAGAAACATCTTGAGTCAAAGGGAAGCTTTTCCAGAGCATTCTTGGAATCAACATCCCAGCAAGTGAACAGGGTATGAACATCATGAATGCCAAATATGGTGTAGAAAACCTATTCATGAAAACAATTTCAGAAATTTTGTCGGTCAAGCGGAAAACTTCTGTTTGTTGGTGTAAAAGTATAAGCAGCTTGATGAGGATGTGGCACATCTAAGTCCTTTATAAAGCAAGAAAATGATAGCAATTTGACAGGAGAATTTGAGAAGCAACTTGAGGCATTCCTCACATGCAACATTTATTTGGCTGGTGTCTTTATGTTACATAAAACGTGTTCCAGTATATATATATATATATATATATATATAGAACATACAGAACAAAAAAAAAAAACCCGGTGTAATCCCACAAGCGGGGTCTGGGGAGGTAGTGTGTACGCACACCTTACCCTACCTTCAAGAAGGTAGAGAGGTTGTTTCTGGTAGACCCTCGGCTATATATATATATA